GGCCAACAACGACGTGTCTTCTCCCAACTTACATAGGCGGTATTTCCAGAGGGGAGCCCACTTGTAGCAATTATATGTTCAAGCTCTGTATATTGGCCTTAGGAATCATTTAAAATAACTTGTATGCATAAAACTCTTTAGATAAAAAAAAAAAAAAAGCACATGGAGGGCATGCACACCCCATCAAGTCCAGGAATCAAACCTGGTACTTTATTGGTCCAACAGTGCCTACAACACTGCTTAAAATAAATAACTTCATGTATTTAAGTTCTATTTGCTTTAAAAAATTAGGTTTGTATTAAAAAAAAAAAAAGACAAATTTCCTTGTAGAAAAATGAAAAAATAATCTCATTTATTGAGGTAATTTTTTCCAGAAATAAAAACTGAGGTAACAATTTGCATAGCATAACTTTCATAAAATTTACACACACTCATGAACACAAACACACCATGGAGTAGTAACCGAAACGACAAACCGTCTGACAGTGAAAGGAAAACGTAAAGTGTGCTGTGATTCTTCCCCAATGATCAATATAAACAAACCAGATTCATACAGTAAAATCCATAAACAGCTGCTGGTGATGGAGGGGGTTATATAAAAAATTTAACAGTTGATGGTCATTTTTTGTAAAAACCTTTACAGTTCATATAAAAATACATTCATAGCTCCAAAATGCTGGTTTGTGTAGAACCGCAGTGCTGCAGATTCCACTTTTGCTGAATTTATAAGAACTATAAAAATACTGGACTCTGATAAAAGGACACTTTTCTAATATTGTTTGGTTGGGGGATGTTTGGGACTCTTAAGTTGTTACATTCTGGAGCAGAAAGGTGGCAGCATGATAAAATAAAAAATCCAAATTAGCTTTCCTCCTAGGCTTTGGCAGAGATTCTGCTTCAGAGGCAGGACGACTTTAGCACAAACTCTGTCCTGTATTTTTTTCATATTTTAAAAACAACCATCATTATTGAAATGAAAAGTCAAAACTGTAGAAACTAGTGCATTTCTGGTAGAAGGAACCAAATGTCATCCCGATTTCTTCTTAAGTGACGGACATGTTAACCTACATCCAGTTCAAAGATCTAAAGTGACTGAGAAACATTTGAGCTGATAAAAAGATTTACAATCAAAGAGCCGGCAGGCGAATCCCACCCACCCTGCCCGCTGCTACAGAGACAAACCTTGGCTGATACTCTCTTTATAAAATACAAATGTACATAAATCACAACATTTTCTTTACCTACATATATAAACATCATATACAACAAGTTCACAAAGCAGAACCGGATTTTTACAAAAGGACTCCTGCCGCTCACTTTTTCTTTTTTTTTTCAAAATTAGAAAAATAAGAAAAGTTCCATGATCCCAGGTTATGATGAAATACTGAAGAGCATCAGACGGGGCTTTGCTGACATCGTGGTCAGGACATAGTGGAGGTGAAGATTCTTCACGGGTCCTGGTTCTAGAGTGGCCGGTCTTTGTCCTGAGTTACTCGCTGTGTGTAGAAGAGGATGTAGGCCTGAGCCCGACAGACCTCGTCCACCGAACACACATTCAGCTTAGAGTCATTACAGTGAACCCAGAAGCCTGAAGGAGAAATAAGAGCAATCAGTGTGTGAAACTATTCACACCCATTTGATGTATTTTATATTCAAGCGATGTGAATACTGAATGGTTTCCTTCGAAATCGGTTCAAAATAGTGCAATCAATTTTTACTTTTTTCATATTAAATAAAATCGTTCAGTTTGTTGATTCTAGAAGGAATACATTTCCATTAAAAAAAAAAAATCTATTTAAATAAAATATTTGAATCGACTTGCTACAATTAAACCTACGGAAGAGGATTAGGGCCACTGAAAAAAAAAGTAAACTGATTTTTAAATTTTATTTCAGTTTTTATTTCAGAATTCTGACTTTAATCTCAGAATTCGGACTTTTTTTCTCAGAATTCTGACTTTAATCTCAGAATTCTGACTTTTTTCTCAAAATTCTGACTTTTTTCTCAGAATTCTGAGATTAAAGTCAGAATTCTGACATTAAAGTCAGAATTCTGACTTTTTTCCCATACTATACTGAAATAAAATAAAAAAAATCAGTTAACTTTTTTTTTTCTCACAAGGCAGGAAAGCTATTTTTATTTGAAACACTTCCCCCTCAGGGTTCCTACAGCATAAGGCAAGTTAAATTCAAGACTTTTTAATGCCGCTTGAAAAAAAAAAAATTTAAGACCAAATTCACAAGAAAAACCCGCTTGTGACAACTTAACCCAAAGGTTTATTTTAACATAAACCACTGCACTGTTTCGAATTTTGAAAAGCTATCGGGATGGAACTCATATTGGCGAGCCGTTATTTCTTTTTTTTTTTTTATTAAAAAAATAAATAAAAATTGTCAATTTTAACGTTTTATTTAGATTACAAAAATAAATCGTAATAAAAATAATCCTATTTATGATGTATTAAAAATTAAGACCTACGAAAGAAGAATTCAATGCCTTTTAAGACTTTTTAAGGACCCGCGGGAACCCTGCCCCTGTTAGACTGAACAGCATTACCATGCAAATGTTGACAGGTTGGTGCAGTCTTGTCCCAACAGGTAAAACTTACTCTCTAGGAGTGCGTGTATTCTGTCTCAAATTGTAAAAATATTGGAAGTGATAGAATTATCTCTGGCACATATAATGACCACATCTACACTTAGGCTGCACTACAGTAGCCTGATAAACCAGATTAAATGTGTAATTTAGTCTGGTCCCAATTAATGAGACATTGGAAGATTGTTGATGAAACCAACCCGTTGTTTTTCAAACCATGTCTGTGCCTATTGGCCAACGCTCTGACCAATGAGCGCAGCTGACTGTGATGTAGGAAGTGAGACAGGAAGCTGGTGGAGGAGTGTAAACAAACAGCGAATACGTCTAGCTTGGGCTACAACACGTGCCAGAACTTTCCTGTAAGCAGATGATACCGCTTTGTATTATGCTGCACCTTCATGCAGTGAATAAATCAGGTTTTGAGCAGAACACTGAATGTTGTACATGATCGGTAGCCTGACGTAGTCCGACTCAATTCTAGTCAGAATATGAGTCTGATTCTGCTCCATAGAGC